TTATTATTATTATTATTATTTCCTTTCGATATTGAATTGTGTTTTGGCCTTTTTCACATGACATCACAGAAATCTTTTCCAGGGTGTTTTTTGCAGATTCTCTGATTCCCAGGTTTTGGGTCGGGATTGTTCCCTCAAGATGTAAGAGGCAAGATTAACATAGAGTAATAGACTTTCAATATAAAAGAAAATGCGTAAATTCAATACCTCTTGCAACACTGCAAGGTCATTTAAGAGGCGGATCCTCCGAATTTAACGTCCAAATGCAATAGGACCGAGACATATGGCAAAATCCATGTAAAAAGCTTTTTTCCAAAGGCACAACGTCGAGCTGAGCAGAGCATCGAACCCCCAACCTGCAATCTCATGATTACGAGTCCGAACTACTAGACTATCGACGTCGCACATTGACTTTGCAAGGGTAGTGAAAAACCAGTCGGAACGAAAAGCATAACCCTGTCGAGGTGACGAGATGTACTGAAATTTAACTACCTGCTTGTACTGCTAGACTCAGTCAAGTTCGCTCTGTAGATATCGTATAGATCGATGGCTCAATAGGCTTGGGCATTTTCAGTCTGACACAGTGTTCTGTTTGTGTCGCCCATAGACTTGTATTATAATATCCAAGACTGTGTACGTAATTCTGATTCACTATAATGGAGCGCATCATTTGACTCAATTCAGAGCCAACTTCAGGGCAAAAAGGGGGGGGGGGAGGAGGAAGAGAGAAACGTCGCGCTTACAAAGCTATCGTGAGAATGGAGTGGGGAGTTTTCGTGATGAGGGCGCCTACGGTGTGCAAGTTTCGCAACGAAGTTTTTATAGGGAGCAAAGAGCGTCTACCATGACAGTGCACGATCTAGGGTGTTATTTTATAAGTCTTTGGTTTCTCCACAGGGTCTGGACATTTCCTCTACACAAATATTATGGCGTTGGCAAAACGTTTTATGTGGCCACACGTCGTCGGTGCATATTCTTTCATAAAAATAAGTACACGTCGAACCTGCTCGAACCACCACCTTTATAAGACAATCACCTGTACAAAAGACCCGTGCCCATTTCCTCCTTTGCGTATTTTTCACACTATACATTGGTAATTGTCAGGAGTGTAGATCAATAACTTGAAACGAATTGGCCAACTATGATGTAACGCATTTTATGTCGTAACGTGGTCCACTCGTTAGTATCTAAACACTTCATTCATTACCCATTCTCACAAAAGTCTTGCGTTTGTTTGTGAGCACGTTTTTATAATTATTCGTCAGGTTATAAACATGGCCAGAACGTAATAACAATGACACTGCGTAAGGGTACGAACACGGTGACACGGACAGACAGGGACAGCTACTTGCTGTCGCACAGGGACGGACAGGCACAGGGAAATGTGGTCACATTCAAACAGGCAGCAAGAGACTTTACAAGTAGTTTTTTGGTAAAAGTGCATTTTAGGTGCGTAAATGATTATACCAAATTATGTTCAACAATAACACGCTACTACAGTACTTTTGCTTTTGGATTTGCCTCTAGGGTAATTTTAGTGGGCCCTCTGTCAGTAAGTTATTTTGTAGACATGTCTGCTGTTGTAAGTTGCGAATTTGGAACTTGATTTGCCTATGGTTTTCAAAATCTTTTCTTACACGAAAATCAGGTCGTGTACTTGTTTTCTTGCTGCTGAACTGTATTTTTTGCGACACGATTACATCATCATCATCAATGCCTTTCACCCCTGGCAGGGTATAGGCCACATACAGGCTCCTTCCATTTATCTCTGTCCTGGGCCATCCTTCCTAGCTCATTCCAAGTGAGCTTCATCTCTCTCATGTCCCTTTCCACACATCTCCATGATTCCCATGGCCTACCCCTGCCTCGTGCTCCCTGTGGGTTCCACTGCAGCAACTGTCTTGTGATGTTTCCGCATCGCCACTTTTTAAGTCCTATTTCTACTTCTATATATTATATTCTTTTGTCCTGTCATTTCCCACAGCTCTTAATTTTGTATTCTATCCTGCCACTTAAATACTAGGATACTCATAAATTGCTGGCTTTTCTTGCACCGCAATGATCAGTTTCTCTTCAAAATCCTCCATCTTGACAAGAACAATCACTGTGATCGTATCTTTATTTAACTCCCTTGAAACAGACAGACAGGAGAAGTAGTGCACGCACTTTTCGAATTGTCCTGACTGTCGCTGGCTGCTGCTGTCTGTGCCTGTCCGTGTTCAACATAGCCGGGTTGGTGTGTTTTAAAAGAAATCATGAGCGGTTTTGGCGTGCACGCTTTTTGATGTGTTGCTGTGACAGTAACTGGCTGTCCCTGTCCGTGTCAGCGTGTCCCTAGCCTAAGACGGCCACTTTTCTCCTCGACAATAGATGGCCGTCTCAGATACTTTGGACTGTTGCCTACATGTCCTCCTCAGGCCCTAGATTTTCTCCTCAAAGCGTCCGGGCGGGACAAGCTAGAGCTCCCTTTGCTCTTCGCACAGAACAAGTGTGTGGGCGGCTATCTAGAGATCATTCACATGCACGGCGCCGGACAGCTCAAGCAGATCGTCAACGAGGTGACCGACGCTTTTTCACCGGAGGAAAACGCCCACACGGGGGAACAGGACGGCACGGATATTAAAGTCCGAGTATGCACAGCAGTGTCTTTGTCTGTTTGTTTGTTTGGTTCGTTGGTTGGCTGGTTGGTTGGTTGGTTGGTTGGCTGGTTGGTTGGCTGGTTGGTTGGTTGGCTGGTTGGTTGGTTGGCTGGTTGGTTGGTTGGTTGGTTGGTTGGTTGGTTGGTTGGTAATGGTTTGTTGGTTGGATGGTTGGTTGGTTGGCTGATTGCTTGCTTGCTTGCTTGCTTGCTTGCTTCCTTGCTTGCATGCTTGCTTGCCTTTTTGTTTGAATCCTATTGTAAAGTGTGTCTTGTCATTTTTGCCAAATATTTTAATTTTGTACAAGCTATGAATAACTTCTTGACTTGCTGTTAAAGTTTTGGCGATGTGTGTGTGTGTGTGTGTGTGTGTGTGTGTGTGAGAGAGAGAGAGAGAGAGAGAGAGAGAGTGTGTGTGTGTGTGTGTGTGTGTGTGTGTGTCAATGTGTCAGTGTGTGTGTGTGTTTCTGAGTGTGTGCGTGAGCGTGTGTCTGTCTGTGTGTGTGCGTCTATATGAGCGTGCGAGTGTGTAACCATGGTATGAATGTACGAGGGCTGTCCCACGGAAAACCGGAATTTGGCTATAATTTGAAAACTATTCAATATTTTCACATTCTGTAAACGCATATTTGTAAAACAATCATTTAGGAATTTCCCAATTGAGCACCATGAGCATCGCACAAACCAAACGAACACAGCAGTTCTCCAAAGATGGCTACCCCCTTGGAAAATTGGTCAAGGGTAAAAGTGAGGTCTGTCATTCAGTTTCTGACCGCAAAAAAGGTATCAAACCTCTAGAAATACACACTGGAATAAAGTCAGTTTACGGGGAGAAAGTAAAGGCAAAGTCACAGATATATGAGTGGTGCAGTAAATTCAAAACCGGGCATACGGATGTCAATGACAAATTCATGCAGGACCTTGTTTTCTGCCAAGACTGAGGACAACATCAACAAGAGTCGCGTTAACAAACTCATTCAAACAGACAGGCGCCTACAAATTCGCGAAATTTCCGAGTCGCTAAACATTTCAAAGTCAACTGTCCATAGGATAGTGTTTGAAGAGCTGCACTATCAAAAGATGTCTGCTCGATGGTTCCCAACAGAGCTGACAGCTGACCACAAGACGCAACGTGTTGAAGTGTCTCAGACTTTGTTGAATCGTTGTCGCCAAGCTGCCACGGGAGTCATGAACGCATCTAGAGACCTCCAACAATACGATGAAGCATTCCTGAGAAGCATTATTACAGGTGATGAGACTTGGATACACCACATGACCCCTGAGACGAAGAGGGATTCAATGGTTTTAAAGCACACGTCTTCACCTCCCGCGAAAAAGTTTAAAGTTCAGCCATCGGTGAAGAAACTCATAGCCACGGGTTTCTGGGGTGCTAAGGGTGTTCTGCCTTTTGACATTCTGGAACCAGGACAAACTGTTAATGCTAACAGATACTGCCAGACTCTTGATAAGTTGAGAGAGGTTGTGCGCCGAAAAAGACCAGGCCGGTTGTCCAGCGGGGTCATTTTGCAGCATGACAACGCAATGCCACACAACACAAACGCCACGAAAGACTGGATCCAAAGATTCTGCTGGTAAGTTCTACCACACTCCCCTCATAGTCCTGACTTGGCCCTGTCAGATTATCACCTTTTCGGACCAATGAAACGCCATATTTCTGGACAGCGATTCACTGACGACGAAGACCTCGTGGAAGCCGTGAAAGATTGGTTGAAATCCCTTGACGTAAAATTCTTCAGGGTGCATATCTTCTCCCTGATCCAGCGAGGGGAAAAATACGTCCAGCGGGATGGTGATTACATTGAGAAATAAAGCACATATTGAGGTATGATGTGTTACATTTTTATTATAACAGGACACAGATTGTTGCTTTTATGGACCTTTTCCGGTTTTCCGTGGGACAGCCCTCGTACATGCGTGTTCGTGTTAGTGTGCATGTGCTCGCTCAAACACAGCAGTTGTGTCCTCGTCTGGTATAATTTTACACGCAATGCACGACTTTGTGCTTACCTTTTTAGACTATTCATTTATCTGTTTACTAATTTTGCAAAATGTCTTCTGACACTGTTCCTGGTCTTTAGAAATCAAAATTAGGTGCAGCAGTTTTGCATGGCTTCATAAGCAACTAGAGGTGTATGACTTTGCGTCCAATACGTTAACCTTTCTGAAAGTCAGTTAAAACTGGCACACGTTATATTTGCCTATTGCGTAATTTTTCGGTTATTGACCTGTATTCCTTTCTTCGGCTTGTGGCCACATAGCCTAAGAGATAAGAAACTTTAGACTTTCATTGTAAAGATACCAAAAGCTGGGAGTTCATTAAACTTTTTTAAAAGTATCTATAAAACTTAGGTCCTACTCTGCCAGAACGCTGAACCAAGCTTAAACTTTCTTTTTTTTTTTCGTAAAGAAAAAAAACTAGTCTTTTTAAGTTGTAGTAGAGTTCAGTTTTTTTAACAGACGTGGTTGTATTTTATCAGAAGTTTAGATTGCTTATCACCTTCCGGCTGTACTTTTAAGATCTGAAATGTTCCCTTTGTAGCTTCTAGATAGCGGTCTCCCAAAAAAGACAGTGTGTTTGAGGTTTTTGAGATGACAAGCGACTTAGTGTCCTTGAAGGAAACACCCCTTTCGGGAGAAGAAAAATGTAACGAACATAGGCCTATCCTCGGTCCGTCCAGAAGTCGCAGAAAACACACGAAAAACACACGCACGCAAGTGAGCGCTATTACGCACAAATTCACGCGGACCCCCCCCCCCCTTCCCACACGCGCGCGCGCACGCACACACACACACACACACACACACACACACACACACACACACACACACACACACACACACACACACACACACACACACACACACACACACACACACACTCGTCGACCTATGTTAAAGATATAGTCTGTTTGCATTATCAGTCGCAACACCAGAGGAAGGACAGCAATCTGTTCCTGTGTGGCTGTATTGTCTTTATATTTGTTACTTTTTTCTTAGCACTGTATGACTGCATATCATTTAGAGGCCATTTGCCTCTCCGCTACTGAAACTCTCACTGTTTCATGTTCAATTATGATTGTCATGACCAACTGGCAAGTGTCGCGTTCTAGGCTTCGGAAAAATAAAACGATGCGCGTTGACAACATGAGTTACTTCTCGCAATCCGCGAATGGAGATATCGGCCAAAAATCGACGCAGACCTCAAATTTGTAGCGTTTCGACAAATGTTATTTTCTTCAAGTTTAACATGTCTTTTATCATTTCACTGGCCTCCTTATTAATTATATGCCTACAAACTTAAAACTTAACCTGTAAATTTGACGTAGCCTCTCTCTATGTCCATGTGGCTATCGGCATAATCCCAAAAGTTACTTATTTTGATAGCATGCGTCTAATATTTTCCTGATGAATATGCGGGTGAGGGAGGGTGGTTAGTATTCTTTTTAGTGTGGCCTAATCCTTCTAATTCTTTTCAATGATATCTTTGTCTCCACCGATCCTTAGCACAATTAAGCCGTGACCGTGCTGACTCGTCCAAAAATCAGCTAAAATATAACATTAAAGGGATTGCTTAGTGCTTGCGACGAGGGAAAGACATTAGATCAATCTTCACATGTACATGACTGTATTCTGCAATCCTGTAACTTTACACTGTGGTACAAGTTGCTGAGCACAAATGAAATACACAGGAGAGAGAGAGAGAGAGAGAGAGAGAGAGAGAGAGAGAGAGAGAGAAAGAGAGAGAGAGAAAGAGAGAGAGAGAGAGAGAGACAGAGAGAGAGAGATTGAATACTTACTGAGCGGGGATGTTTCAGCAAGTAAACATCTATTTATTAATGGCCTGTCTTGTAGTGTGTATGGGTGAGTGCACTTAACGTTTATAACACCCAGTGACATTGTTAACAACCAAAACACATTTTTCCCTGAGATATGAATAAAGATTGCCATTGTCATTGTCATTGTCATAGTCATAGTCATTGTCATTGTTATAGTCATTGCCATTGTCATTGGTACAGGTGCAGGAGACAGTGGGAAAGACGTGCGACTCCATGACGCGAGTCGACGGGCCAAGCAACACTCCAAGTGAGACTTCAGACCTGAGCGCGTCATACCTGCTCACAGGCCCAGAGGCGGAAGGTGAGAGGTCAAGTGCAGACAGCGTCAAAGGAATCAGGCTCTGCTTCCACGACGAAAAGATGGAAAACATTGAAAACCCACAGTGAATCTCAACCCTCCCCGACCCTTTTTTCCAATGCTCTGCCCATCCAACCACCTTCGTCTCCCTTTATCTCTCCCCACCCCCCACCCCTTTTTTTTCACCCCACCCCACCCTTCTATGCAATCCAACCAACATAATTCTCAAAAACCCGACACTCCAGCATTCCCCAATTTCCTTACCCCCAAATCAGGTTTCTCCACTTCCTTCTTCCTTATTTCTACCGCTGGCGCAAGTATGGCGTCCACAGGATTACTTGTGTGTATCTGATCTGTTCGGGCTCTTATAGATTCTAAGTAACACAAAAGCATAATAGTGAATCGAGGGGAGGTTCGCCTCGGGAATCGCAATGGCACGCTCAAAGAGACGAAATGAATCATTTTGGATAAAGAAAAGAGGGAGACAGATAACAAGAGAAAGAGAGGAGTTTTTAGGGGGTTTTTGTTATTGATTTTTAGGGAGGGTTTTTTTGCATGCTTTTTTGTCTTCGAAAAAGGAGGGAGGGTGGAACATGGGGCAGGGGTAACTGCACATTGTCGGAAAGACACACGTCGATACAAAATATGAACGTTATGGATCGACTTATTTAAATAAGTTGTTACATTAGATGTGTCCAAGTTGCTGGTCAAGGACTCAAACCGCTAGAAATATTGCTTTGGACTATTTTGGGGCAGAATTTGGTTTGGAGTATTTACTTTACTTAGTTCGAGAATAGGCATCATTGCAAGCAGCACAGTGCCATAGCTGCTCCTCCTTCCTTTCCAGGATCCATGAAAGGGTCTGGCTGCTGATTGTGCCAGTTAACAGCTGGTTGGATATTCTTCTGGCTTTTCCAGGCAGGTTGTTGTCTCTTCCCGACCCTCTTGAAACACCAGCTTCCCTTAGTCTATCCACTGTGAGTGAAGTGATGCCTTCATCATCTCTGTGGTCGTTGAACTATGCTGTCACTGCTGCCATGACTGTTGGTGGATCTAATTGCATGGTGTCGCTCATCTCAGCCTGGCTGGCTAGTTTATCATTGCCTTGAACTCCTGAATGACCAGGGCTAAAGATCCATACAATCCTTGTGAGTCTGCTGCTTTGTATTGCCTCTCGCCAGTCTGCATACATCATGTGTTTCTTCACTTTTTCGAGAGTAATCGAGTCGGTGACGAGGATGGCAGACGGCTACTCCGTCGTTTTAATCCAGTTAAGGGCTTCTGTGATGGCTTTTATCTCCATGCACATGCTGGACGTGGTTATACTAGTGGTGTCTGACAGCTCTCTCTGTATGACCCCGTTTACACGGGCGCTGAAAGCCCATTCAGATTTCACACCACTCTGTACTGATCCATCTGTGAAGATTACTACGTCGCCCTTTGCACTGTTCTCCTCTATCAGCGTCTCTACCTCGGCGTTGGCAGCTCCTTCTAGCCACTCACGACATTCTCTGCTTTAAGTTGCTACCACTCGAGTTTTTTGCCCAGGTGTGTCAGTGACGCTGGCCCAAGAGCTGCCCCTTCGGATGTCTTGCACTTCACAGTATTTAGCCAAAGTCGTCGCTGCCTCATTCAACCATTCAGTCCCTCTAAGCAGACGCATGCGTACAGTTCTTCGCACTTTGTCATGCAGTGGGTGCTGATCGTCGGCGCTGACTCCCAAATACGCTTTCACCTGAGCAGTCTTGTGACGTTCTACCATGGCTGGGAGGTCCATGAGATAACGCATAGCCTCGCAGGATGTATCTCGTGTGCACCCAAAAACAGTCCGCATACCTTTGTTTTTTAATGTTTTAAAGGTGTTTCAGCTGCGACGTTCGACAAGGTGAGGAGACCTAGACCATAGTCTATCATAGACAGCACAAGAGTCTGGTATAGTATGGCTAAAATTCTTTGTGGCATTCTGCTACACGCCATGGTTTTCAGTGCAGTCAGACCTTTTCTGGCTCTTGTGACGATCCTGGTTATTTGATCTTTACCCGAGAGTGATATGTCAAAGGTGATGCCAAGATACGTCAGTGAGTGCACACGCTTCAGAACCATGTCGTTGATGGTGACTGTGAGCATCTCTGCTTTCACCGTTTGATTGTTCAGCGAGCACCACAGCACACAGGCCTTGTCGGGGTGGAGTTTGTCGTTGTGGTCTACACACCATTAACCAATTCGATCCAGCTCCTGTTGCACCGCCTTAGCTGTTTCTTGCCGGTCCTTACCCTGTCTGTATGCAAGGACATCATCCGCAAAGCTCAGCACACGCCCTGGGTCTTCCAGTTGTCCAGAAGTGATCCAAGCTGTGTATATGTTGAATAACACTGGTGAGAGTGATGATCCCTGTGGCAACCACGGTGTGATGCTTCTGGTGTCCGACGTCTAGTTTCCCTGCCGCATTGCAACTCTCCTCTTCATCAATGCCTCACCTACCCATATCACGAGCTGGGAGCTAATCATCAGGTTGATCATTGTTCTCAAAAGGATATCGTACTCAACCCTATTGCAAGCATCCTAAATGTCAAGCGCTGCTATCAGAGTCTCGTCTCCTCTTTCAAACCCGTCATAAACATCTGATGCAAGGACAGCAGCATTCATCCACCTTTCCTTCCCCTTTCTGTAGCTACTCAGAGTCGCTGGAAGAGCCTCTTCCTTTTCTAGTTCCTTCGTGATCGAGTACCCAAATTCCTTTTCTAAGATCTTGCTCACGCAATTTTGCATCGTGAATACTCGATAAGCAATTATCTTACTCTGGTCCTTGTCAGACCTGGGGAGTGGTACTAAGTGGCTGTCCGACCAATCATTTGGTATCTGTCCGTTCCACAGACTCCTGTTGAGGATTTATATAAGGTCCCTGATGCAGTCCTCGTCAATGATTTGGAGTATACAACTGTCTAAATAATTTGATTGCGAGTGCTCTTGACATATAAGTATTGGGCTTGTTTTGTGCAATATAGAATATTAACATCCTTTGAATAATTTAAAGGTGCACCTAAATCCCTTAATTTCTGATGTCTTGTTTTTCAAAAATAATGGTTTTCAGAGTGCAAGCCTGAGGCCATAATGTACAGCCCATAGCGGGGTTCTGTAAGCAAAAGGTTATAACGCACGCTTCAGAGAAACATATTAAAAGAATAAATATAGTGAAAAATAATCATGAGCTAATGCAGTGTATATCTTATCACCATTTCATTGTGGTACGACGTGTGTCTGCCTCCACCACTATACATCACATTCAGAAGCTTTTTCTTCTTTTTTTTTAAATGCAGCGATTTTCATATGTGTATATCAGGTTGGTGCCATATTGAAAAATTATGTATGTTATGAAATTACGATGCTGTACAATAATAAATGTTTGTTCCTCAAAGTTCTAGTTGCTTTTCGTTTGGGGTTTTTTTTCGGTTTTGGGTTTGAGAAAAGAACATAAGTGCGTCTAGCAATAGCGGGGTCGTTAAGTTGTATGTCCAAAGTACGTAATTCAGGTTAATAACAAGCATAGTTTGCACTATTTATGAATAGTAGGCTAGTGGTAAAACGAACTTTTTCTTAGTTTAAAAAATATTTTTCAAATTTCTTTTTCGTTATGTGTGTCTTGCAAAAAATATATTGTCTCCAGCTTGCGACTGAGTGTTATCTCTCGAAAAGCAACTGAAAGCCGACCATACTTGACCCATGCTAAAAAAAAAAAAAGAAACTGTTTAATTTGACAGGAATCGCAGTGTCCAAAGGCAGAAAATAAAGAAACAGAAAAAGCAGCATAACCCATACAAGTACAAATACCATGGATTTTAACGGTCCTTTTGATATAGTTCAGTAAGGTTGTACTATTTTAGAGGACACATGTCCCAGAAAAGTAGATGAAGAGCTATTGAATCATGAAAACTCCTCAGGCAAATAAATAGGACCAAGAATTTCAGGTTAAGATTCAATTACTGTCAGCTCCCTCCATGATTCAGCATAGTACCAGTTGAGCTAACGGTGTGTATGATAGCTGAAGAGTTAAATAGTATACACCCCGAGACACACACACACACACACACACACACACACACACACACACACACACACACACACACACACACACACACACACACACACACACACACACAAACACGCGCGCGCGCGCGCACGCCACACACACACAAACACTCACACACACACACACAAACACTCACACATACACACAAACATTTACACATACGCGCACACACGCACATACACACACACAAACACTCATACATACGCACCCGTACACGCGCGCGCACGCACACACACACACACACACACACACACACACACACACACACACACACACACACACACACTATCCCCCCCCACCCTTCCGCATTTGAGCATCACGACGATCACAGCACGCTATTTCCGATTCCTATAAATGGCACAGCTTTAAAAAAAAATTAGTAAATGTTTTACAGAACTTATTACACAAATAGGTCATGTAAGTGTGGAAGATTAGATGTGTTACAGGAGAGTAGAATACAGAGAAAAGGAGGAGAGATAAAGACAAAACAGTATACATGCATTATTATGTTTTATAGAAAAAAAATGAGCAAACCATACCAGAGCACCAGCCAACCACCCATCATAATAAAAAACAAAACGGCAACCTCAACGATGACCGTGGTCCTGCACGCTAGGTCAATCACGTTCGAAATGGCGATGGTGTGTGTGTGTGTTTGGGGGGGGGGGGGGCACAACCTTACGTTTGTTCTGCCTGAGAACAACATGATACAAATGTGGGGTGGGGCCCACTGGAAAATCGCACTGTTAGCACAAACTAGAATTTGTGAAGGTATCAATTTTAAGAGCTCATAGATTCATAACTGCATTTCTGTTCAACTGTTAGTTGATTACTAATGTTTTACTTTCCAGTCAACCAACAAAAACAGTGAACCTAGCAGTCAAACAGAAATAAAGTTATGAGGCTACAAACTTTTAAAATTGACACCCTCGCGATTTCCAGTTTGTGATAACGCTTGGGTTTTTTTCCGTTGAACCCTTCAATAGTAACTACTATTAGTGTTAATTTTTGTGGGTGGTTGGCGGGTGCTCTGGTGTGGTTTGCTCCTTCTTTCCTATCTTACATCTCTTGTCCTTATCTCCCCTCCTTCATTTTTGTGTTTGTTACTCTTCTAAAACATCTCCAATCTTCGGCACAATAATATGATCTTATTGTGTCGCAAGTGCCGTAAAACTTTAACTGAAACTAAACTTGAAGTGTTAGTTTACCTTGTTCCCGTGTCCAGATCGGGAAGACATTCTCTCCCTTGGCGTCCCTGTGCCGCAGGTTGAAGTAAGAGAACTGCTCTCCGCCTCCGTACACCTCCTCGCCAGGCTGGGCCACAAGGCGGAACCAGATCCGGTCAAAATCTTCAGAGCTCTTCGCTATGTCCAGCGCCAGAGGCTGTCCGTTGGCCGGTGCCAGTGACAGTTCCACCTGATGGAGACGTTTTGTTTCTACTGTTATGTTTACAAACGCAAAATCATTTGTGAAAAAAGAGTTGAATTTGCTCTTACGACTACCTGTACAAGACAATCGCCATTACACAAATGACCACGAGTGTCCATACTGCGAAATTTCTTTGTCCTGGGAGAGAAAAGAATGATCCTCCAATGAATTTCAGAAATCATTTTGCATCGAAAAAATATGTTCCTTGTGAAAACGAAATACACCTTCACGATATGATCATAAGCTAGACAGTCTCGGACCGTGCTGGGAAGAAGTCATAAGACCAAAAAGGTAAATTTATGATTTGTTATAGTTAAAGCTGTCTTCTGCCATTCGCCCATTGTCTTTAGAAGGTTGTCAATCGTCCCTATTCCAAAAAGATGCATTTAATAGAGGTAGCTCCAAACACATGGTCGGGGCTACCGGGTTTGTTTGTTGTTGTTTTGTTTTGTTTTGGGGGGGGGTTCATTGGTTTTGTCTTTGTTTTTGTTTTTGTTTTTGTTTTGTTTTTGTTTCTTTTTTTGCTTTGTTTTGTTTTATTTGGGGGTTGCTCTCTCTCTCTCTCTCTCTCTCTCTCTCTCTCTCTCTCTCTCTCTCTCTCCCTAAATCTATTTATCTCTATCTCATCGCATATATACAAATTTAAAAAACGGTCCTCACATATACACAAGTACTCACACAAACACACACACACAAACAAACAAACAAACAAACAAGTACAGAATAAGAAAGAAATCAACTCACCACAGTGGAGCCTATACTGACGGTGAACCCCTGCCCCCCATCTTCAGTGACGTTGAAGGGCAAGGCTTGAATAAGGTCTCGTGTGATGAGACTCAAGAATAACACAAGAATTCCAGACAGTGCCATCAGGTCCCTGTGGGAAAATGATGAGTTATGAACCTTTCTCCTGAAGTGAAAACTCTTTTGTTACCTTACTGATTATCTTGTTTTTGGTCTTGTAAGGGCTACGAACTTTTAAAAGAAACCGAAGCGCGAAAACCAGGAGGTTATAAGAATTTTTTTCTTTATAGAGACGGCTGAAACAGCTTTTTTGCATTTTTTATAACCATTCCTACCCTCCCTCCTAACCCATTTCCAAGTTGTTATACTGTTATACTATGTCTGGACTCTGCAAAGAAGCACAATCACAAACATTAGCTAAACTTTCACCAAACGTCACACATACTAGAGAACATGAAAATGCATTGTCTTCTGCAAAGAGCCTGGTTTTGTTTCTCTGCATCATATTTTTTTTTTCAACTCAACGTCATTTGCTTGAGTAGGCCTATTTAGGAGGGCATTGTATGACTAGTTTCCCTACATCATTAAAGTTTTAACGTTTTCATTTCCCCATTTAGGAACAGCACGTTGGCAGTAGAAGGTGGAATAATCTAATGCATCGCTTGCGCACCTGGACAGTCGTTTCACCTTTTGTGGGTGATTTGGTTATTTTGTGGGTGGTTGGGATCACCTGGGTAGTGATGTGTTATTTAATTCCCCTCCTGGGAATGCGTGCAGTTGAGCGGCAAGAAAATGTTAGCCTTTTAAAATAAGTTGAAGGTGGCAAAAACAGGCCCAGGCTCATTTTTTAAAGGGTTGATAGGAACGTGAGTTTTGCAATTGATCAATACATCAAATGTGAGAATAGGTAGAATTTGTATTCAGTTTTCACTTAGTGAGTGGGCCTACCTCGAGGCAAAAAAGGGTGTATTATGCATAACATTTTTCAATTAAATGTACCGGACCGGTATTCTCAACAGAGACTTTAAGGTTCCAAGTCCGAGTGGCTATGACCACGAGGTCAATGTTAATTACCTGTTCATTCCATCTTCATTCTGTTCTCTCTCTCTCTCTCTCTCTCTCTCTCTCTCTCTCTCTCTCTCTCTCTCTATCTATCTATCTATCTATCTATCTATATATCTATC